ACCCTTTAGTCAAACAACCAAATTGCCATCGATGCCCTTGCTAGAATGTTAATTCGTGACGTTGGGGTTGGGGGTGAGGCTATTCTCGATGTACCCTAGGACATTTCCCTAAATGAGTGGCGCCCAGAGCACAGGGATCTGTGAAGGAGTGGGAAGGCTACTGATGTGACCATCTTACCCAGTCCTTACTTGTCCTTTGAGGGACTCGAGGGGATGTGCCTTGGCTTAATTACCGTATTAGCGCCTGGCTTTCTGGTGAATGGAGTGTGACTCCCTGGCATGCGGTGGGTCTCCCAAAGGTTACAGAAGAGTGAGTTAAAGGGATGTTAGTGGTGGCAAGGAGAGACAGGAAGGAGGGCTCGGGGCTGGGGCTTAGACCCAGGGGACCCAACTCCGAGCTACATCCCTAGGCTTCTGCCCTCCCATAGGTGACCTCCAACCCGTGTGCATCTCTGAGGCATCCGTAAGATTTTACTCTCTCAGTCACCAGCATCTGTGGAGGAGTGGCTCAGATACTGGAGTAGTGTCAGGCGAGCTCAGCTGAAAACCTGCTCACAGAGAGAGCATGTTCCCCTCGTGGACCAGAGACAGGGAGAATCGAGACTGTCCTGGGTACTGAGTTCAGGATCCGCCACAGCCTGTGTTACAGGGGGGGGGGACGACTGTGAGCTGCTCAATGTGTGCACCGGGACAGAACGGAACTCTGCCCTCTGCCATTCCTTCCCACAGAGGCTTCCTTTCTTTTCATTGTTAACTCCTCTTCCTCTCTCTCCTTCTCCTCTCTTCCTCTCCATCCCTCTCCCTCCCCCCTCTCTCTGTATGTGTATGTGTGTAAGTCAGTGGTTGACATTAGTGTCCTTTTCAGTTTCTTCCTACCTTATTCTATGAAAAATAACTGAACCCGGCATTCACTGAAGGGCTGAATTGACCTGCCAGCCAACGCTGTATCTGCCTCTCAGGACTGTGGTTAAGGACCAGAACTGCCATGGGTGGCGTTTTTGCATGAATCCGGGGATCTGAATTCTGGTCTTCGTACTTGCATTTTACCCACTGAGCCATCTCCATAGCCTTGTATTCTGTGTTCTGAAATAGAGTATTACTGTGTAGTCCAGGCTGGCCTCAGACCTCCGGCCGTCCTCCAGCTTCTCATCCCTAATGCTAGGATCACAGGTGCCCACCCAGGTGTTTGTGCTTTGCCACCCACTCTCTCCAGCAGGTGTTGGTGGAAGCAGTGTGATTTTGGCGTGCGTGCCCGGTGTATCTGATGCAGTCAAACTCTTCCAATTGGAGCTCATTCCAATTTGTGATTAATTTTTCACTCTGCATCACCCAGAGACCATGTGTATAGACTCAGCAAGCTCAGATAATGAAATCAGTGAGACCAGCCAGTCTGTTCTTAACCCCGCCCCCCCCCCCCAGGAAGCTGCTAGAATATGCTCTGGTGGGTCAAAAGTATGTTTTTACACTTGCTGGTCTCTCTCCGTGTGTGAGCCGAGGAGCATCATGCGTGAGCCCCGGAGCACCTGAGAGCACAGCTTGCTGGAGGTGGTCCTCCACTCCCACCACGCGGGTCTCAGGAATGGAACTTAGGTTTGACAGGGTGTCTTTACCCACGGAGACGTCTCCCCATCCGAGTGCTGTGACTTGAACACGCCATTCTCAGCCACGCAGCCCCCAGTGATGCAATGCGGTGGAAGAGGGAGAGGGAGCACACGGAGAAACTGTGTGGGAACCCTGGAGCTCTGTCAATTCTCAGAAGCAGCCTGCTATCTGAGTGCTTCAGTCCTTTGGGGGTGGAGGGGGCTGGGCCGTGATTGTCTGCCAGGGAGTTCTACACATCAAGCGGGCTCGTGCACACACGCACAGACACACAGATACACACACACAGACACAGACACACACAGATACACACACACAGGCACACGCACACACACACAGACACACACCCACAGACACACGCACACAGACACACGCACACACAGACACACAGACACACACACAGAGACACATACACACACACACAGACACACACGCGCACACACACACGTGGGTGGTGATCTGTTGTCTGCCATCTTTCTAGTGACGGCAGGCTGGTGACAACTGTGTTTAATGACAGGGCTTGGAAGATCAGTTATGACAACTGTGTCACTGTCATCAACGCCCTTTGTTTTCAGTGAACAGGAAAAACTGTTTCATATGGAAATATCCCAGCTATGAGACAGAGAGGGAGCCAGGGTGGGCCACTCAATACTACTTCCAGAACCGGTACCTGGGCAAGAGTCAGCTACTTAACATGACGAGGGGCATCAGGGGCGTGGACACGTTTTGGACATGCTGTTCCTTCTGTTAAAAGAGCGATGGCTTGTGTTTATAAATGGACATCACTTTTGCCATTTTTGGTCCCTAGAAATGCCCTAGGGAGATGTTATTTTTGGTAAGGGGGGATCTTCCTGCTTCGGTGTGTGACTCTGAGTTGCTGGTTTGGAATCTTCTCCAGCACGGGAGAAGGAGTGGAGCAGGAAGTCATCTTGGCAGAGGACCTACTAGGTGTCAGGCAAGGTGCTTGCCTGTGCGCATGTGTGTTTGTGAGTGTGTGTGTGTATGTATGTGTGGTTTTGTGTGTGTGTGTGTGTGTGTTTCTGGGTCTGTGTGAGGTGTGTGGGTTGTATGTGTTGTATATGGTGTTTTGGGTGTGTGTGCATGTGTGTGTGTGTCTCTGTGTGTGTGTGTGGTGTGTGGGTTGTATGTGTTGTATATGGTGCTTTGGGTGTGTGTGCATGTGTGTGTCTGTGTGTGTGTGTGGTGTGTGGGTTGTATGTGTTGTATATGGTGTTTTGTGTGTCTGTGTGTCTGTGTGTGGTGTGTGGGTTGTATGTGTTGTATATGGTGTTTTGGGTGTGTGTGTGTGTGTCTGTGTGTGGTGTGTGGGTTGTATGTATTGTATATGGTGTTTTGAGGGTGTGTGTTGTACGTGTGTGTGTGTGTGTGTGTGTGCTCCCAGATGATAACCTTGGGTGTTGTTCCCAATTGGCATTTTAAAAACAATTACACCCATGCAGAGGTCAGAGGTCACCTTTCATGCTTAGGCTCTCTTCTTCCACCAAGGGCATCCTGGGACTGAACTCCAGCTCTCATGCTTAGTGGCCTGCTCCCTTCTGGCTGAGCTATCTTGTCCGCCCCTCATCTCGTTTTCTGAGGCTTGGTCCCTTGAAGGTCTGGAATGCACACACACACTCAGCTAGGCTAGCTGGCCAGTGAGCCTTTCCCCACCCCCACTCTGCTTTCCCCCCACCCCTCCCCCCACCCTCCACCCCACCCCTCACCCCACCCCCCCACCTCCGCGTACCTAAGAATCCTGTGTGGGGGCTGGGGATTGAACTCAGGTCCCCATGTCTGTGTGGCAGGCACTCAGCAGGTGGAGCCCATCTCCCCAGTCCAGGCACTGTCCCTCTTTAGTGTACCCGAAAGATCTGGTTGTAACTGGCCTCCTTGCCAGGTCAACAGTGAAAACACATCTTTGGAGAGCTGTGGCATTTCCTCTGATGTCTCTCAGCCGTTTAGCGGAGACCAAGGCTTTGAATGCAGGTGTTTTCATAACTTAATGCACACTACAACCTGGGGAAAAAGAAGTCGAGAAAAGCAAACAAAAAGTACCTTATGTCAAAAAGGATCCAGAGGATGAGTGAGCTAGGCGGGTGGTTTATTTGTAAAAACCCCAGACGACTTAAACAAAATCCAACGTTTTGGAAGAAACTATACTGATTCAGACACTGAAAGACAGCACGCTTTTGGGGAACTTAACCCCCTCCCTCCACCTCGGAGGTGGGGTGGGGTGGGGGACAATGGGGTGTTCCCATTTTTGGGTGAGAAAGTGGTGGAAGTGGAAAGTCTAAGGCGAGGAGGCTGGGCTCGGCCTGTCTTGCCTCCCTCCCACAGTGGACGCTATGGGGTCACACTGGTTCTACGCGCTCCTTTCCACCCCGACATACTGTGCCTTAGAGCTGGAGAAACTTCTGGTAAAACTGGTCAGTTAGCAAACAGAGTAGAGAGAAAACAAAAGCTGGGTCGGTCATGTGATGGCAGATCCAAGCCACTTCTGGTAGGATAGCCCCAGAACTAGCCAAAACTTGACCAAAACCCCCTCAACTAAGGACAGAATGTTAACTCTGGCTCTGGACACACCGGGGGTCCCTGCTCTGTGTGACAGTTTTGATAAGAGCACTTCAGGCTTAGGACCTCTTCAGATTTTCTGGTTCCTTCATGGGTGCCGCATGGATTCTGACTGTGGAGCAGTGTGCCGGGCTGCAGAAAAGTAAGTAGCAACCCAAGCAGGGTTGCGGGCAGTGAAAAGGTCACCGTGGAAGGCCCAGGCCCCTGGAAATTCCCTACTGCCCAGAATCGGGTCTGAGCTCTTCTACTTCCCTGAAAACTCAGGAGGCTCTCAAGGAGGCGCTTCCTCATGTGCCTTGAGTTGGTGGTAAGCCTGAAAGATCCAGAACGCCCTCGGCCCTGCACTGGACACACACCCTGAAGCTTTTCACCTGAGTGCAAGCCATCTGTGACCTTGAACCTAGAGTGCTCCATCAGCTGGGTCCCCAGGGACAGCTCTGCTCCAGGGCGGGACTCTTCACCCTGTTTCACCCTGAACAGCAGTAGCCAAGCAACTTTCTCCACTATTTCGGTTTCTCTTGGCTTGGCTTGGTACACAGAGGGAGGCTTAGGGTGGGGCTAGTGGCTGGGGACACCCCTAGGACTAGCTCTGACCTCAGTCAGGTTTTAGCAATCACCTGGAAGGGCAGGTGAGGCCGCTCCAGGGCACCTCGTGGGGGTGCTTGATTGACAGTGCGCTATCGGTGACCTCCTGGCATGGTCCCTTGAGTACTGGGCATCTGGACCGCGTTTGGGGAGCTGAGGGCCAGAAGGAGAGGAAAGGGAGGAGGGAGGAGGGAGAGGAGGAGGGAGAGGAAGTCCCTGGTGCCTGAGAGGCTGGGTCAGAAGCGCGTGGCCGCCGGACGGTTGGGGGCGCGCCGGGCTGGGGCGCGGAGCCGCGGAAGGGGCGGTGCGTCGGGGTCCGCGTCGGGGTCGCGCGTCGGGCGCGCCGTGGCCCCGTCGGGGCGGCGGGAGCTGCGGAGCCGCCATGGCGGACCTGGAGGCCGTGCTGGCCGACGTCAGCTACCTGATGGCCATGGAGAAGAGCAAGGCGGCGCCGGCTGCGCGCGCCAGCAAGAAGGTCGTCCTTCCGGAGCCCAGGTACGGCTCCGTTCCTCTCCGCCCTCTCCAGTGCGCCCCCCTCCCCAACCCTGGTCCTCTCCTGCCCTCTCCCGGCCCCTCCCGGCCCCTTCTGTCCCCTCCTGTTGCCTCCGATCCTCTCCGGTCCTGTCTGGTCCCTCCAGTCCCCTCCCCTCGCCTCCGCCCCGCTGTCCCGGGCTGGTTTCAGGGTCGTCTGTCCCTGTACTCCACCCCCACTCCCCACCCGCAGCAGTAAGTAGAGCTTGAGTTCTCGGTACCAGCGCTGTCACCTGAGCCACTTTCCTCAACTTGGACCCCTGGTGGCCTGCCCTTTCTGGAAAAGATAACAGGAGAACTGCTTGAGCCTAGCCTGGTCTTTCAAGACTGTATAGGTTCCCGCTGAATTGGCCCTGGCTGGTGACTCCCTGCCAAGTTGCCTTTTTATCACTACTGAATGATTATTGATTTTACGGAGATGTGATAGCTTCTTAGGGCTGTACTTGTCCCAGGGAGTTCCCATCGGGTGTTCCAGAGCTAGGTGGAGGGCCCTTCTGTAACCGACTCCACTGATAGTTGTATAGCTGGTGTGGTTCTTCCCCGTGCACAGCAAGCAGCCCCTGGAGTTGACAGTAAAATCGTCTCGGACTTTATGGCCCTCCCTGAACCATGCAGTTCTGTAAGGCTCTAAACCAACCAAGGCTCCTTCCTCTTTGGAATGGTCAAGTGTGACACACCCATGTGGCATCAATTTTACCTCGATGGAAGGGAAAATATATGTGTTTATTCTTTTGATTTTGATTATTTTTGAGGTACTGGGGATGGGACCCAGGATTTCAGGTGTGCTAGGTAAGCAGTCTGCCATGGAACAGTATGCATAGCTCCCAAACAGCCATTCGGTTTGGATCGATGGTCAGATTATTATTTTTTCCAAGTGTGTTTGTGAGCCCCGTGATCCAGGGAGCATCGAATCCCTGTGCTGTGTTTGCTGGGAAGATTCATACTGTACACACAGCTGTGCTGGCTGGGTATTTTTGGCTTGCCTTCGCTTCCAAGCTTTGTCCCCTTGCTGTTTTCCTCTCGGGGTGGTTTGCTACCAGCCATGAGGGGAGACTTTGGTGGGCTGTGGACTCTTGGAGTTTAACCTAGCTGATGCTTGCTGGAAATGGGAATTGATTGTCATTTCCTTGTAAGTGGGAAGGGCAAGACCCAGGACTCCCCAAGTGAGGTCAGGCTTCAGGAGGGAACCCCCCCCCCCAACCAGGCTTATTTCATTCTCTCCCTTTCCTCTGCCCACACCCTGCGAGGGTCAGGGAATTTTAAATATGTATGGTTTCTATATATAAAACCAACAAATCACAACTCATGGGGAGTTCTGTGGGGAAGGGGGTTATACGATGACTAAAATTACTAAGGTCTGCCTGCTCATCTTTTCTCTTTGGTGTTTTGGACCATAGCTGGGCTTCTGAACTGCACTGTTGCTCTGGGGCGTGACACTCCAGTGCCCTGGGACTTTACTTCCCTGTAGTGACACCTCTGTTTTTCCATGGCCTTCCTTGGGTGATACTTTCTTTCAAAGGAGAAGTGGTGTGGCCGAGCTGGCGAGCCCTGACATTTTAAGCTTGAGTGATGTCAACAGGAGAGTTGACTTAGGACACAGTCCTTAGTGACTGCTATTATGTTGCCATTTTTCAGGTAGACTCTTGAACTAGGCCATCTGTCCCCTTCCAGGAGTCTAGTCTGTTGCCTCTTTGTCTTTAGTGGCTTCAGCCCCTAAGTAACAATCACAGGTGACAATCCCTCCTGGTGCTTTGTCACAGTGTGGCTGCTGGGAACCATTGTTCAGAGTTGTGTTTGTGTAATGAGGAGCATGTATTTGAACTTGCCAATTGGTCTGCTGCTATTGATTTTTTGTTTCCAACTAATTATCTGGTCACCGTCAGTATTCTTCCTGCCTCCTCATCTCAGTGACCCTGTCTCTTGCCGTTTTTTTTTTTTTTTTTCCAGCAGAACCAGACAGCATCATGTTAATTATAACAAAACTGGTCTGCAGGGCCCAGCCTCCTTTGCCTGTTACAGAGAATCTCAGATTATGGAACACTGAGCCCAGGGGAGAGCTTGCCTCCCCCGAGAAGGCAAAAGGCAAACATTTTGTTATGTTGACACATTATTCAATTATCGGGCCGATGGGTGTGAATCCTCTGAAGGCTGACTATTTGTTCGAATCACATCTCTGCTTCAGTTTTACCCAGACATTTGTTGAGCTAATGGAGCTGATAACAGAGCCTGCTGGAGGGGGTGACTGTGACCCCTGCAGCTCTGCTAACCAGCACGTGTATCTGCTGTGTCCATTGTATGCCTCAGTGACAAGACATGCTCCCAATGAACTGGGTCTAACTCACAGGTGGCAGCGGCCCAGGGAGTCAGCCTCTTAGTCATGCCGTGGCTAGGACAGCTCTTCACGATGGGTCCATTTCTCTGCTAACAGAATGTTACTGAATTGACTCGAAGGCACATGTGGCCGAAGGAAGTTGAGTCATGAGGCTGGGTCTTCCCCCAAGAAGCCATTTCTGTTTGCGGGGTCCCCTTACTGTTTGTTTGTTTGGTCCACTTGTCAGTCACTCGTGCAAAACACCTGGGAGAGTAGAAAGGACACAGCTTAGGCGGTGGCCATGCCAGGGTGGGTGTGGAGAAGTCAGAGAACAACCTCAGCTGTTGGCCCGCATTTCCCACCTTGTTTGATCCAGGCCTTATTCACTGCTGTGTAGGCCGGGACAGGCGGCCCCCATGTTTCCGGCCTTCTCCTGTCTTTCTCGCCCATCTCGCAGTAACATCAACACCAAGATCACAGATGTGCGCCGCCGTGTCCCTCTTCACGTGGGTTCTGGGGATCCGAACTCAGGTCCTCAAGTGCTTGATTTACTTTTACTGAGCCATCTCCCCTGCCATGTTGATCGATTCTCAGCCCATGCTGGCAGCAGTTGTGGACATGTTTCTCAGAAGCCGACATGGGGGATGTAATGACACACCACATGTCCCTTCCCACTAGGCCTCCGAGAGTAAAGACATGGGGAATGGTCCTGGGCAAGAGCTTTGCTTCCAAGTGTGGGTGTCCTGCTGCTCTATTTGACCCCGGGCAGGCATCATTTGGACTCTGTGGTTCTGTATTTGTGGGACACATCATGCTTGCGAAGGACTCTCCCATTATTCATGCAGAACTGTCTAAGCTTGGCCGTTCACGTCTCCTGCCGGTCAAACAGCCCCCTTGACCAATGAGGGAAGGGTGCGGCTCTCTGCCATCTCGCCTACTGATCACTTGAGAGAGCCCTCCCGTTCAGCTTTTAGGATGTTCCCTGGCTTTGTTCTGTGCGGGAAGCCTAACCTGGAAAACGTGATGAAGACTGATAGGGGGGTAGAAATAGCCAAGTGGTGGCTCTCTGCAAAGTTCCTGTTTTACACACACACACACACACACACACACACACACGCATGCACACATGCATACACTCTCACCACACTTGCACATACACATACATGCATGCACATGCACACATGCACACACACACAAACACACGCACACCACACACATACATTCACACGCGCGCGCACACTACACACGCACACGCACACAAACCTGTAGAGCCTTCTTGGGGAAGAGAGTTTCATCTTCCACAGGAGTCACTGTAAGAGAGGAGGCACTTCTTCCCCACACGGCACAAATCTGAAAGGCAGTTTGTTCTGACCTTTCCACTATTATTTCATTCTTGGTCAGAGTTAATTTGTGCCAGCGACTTGGAGAGGCACTGGATGCTCACAGCTGCCCGTTCTCAGGAACAGGTGTTCTGGAGCAACCAATTTGGGATGAGGACCTGCCCAGTGGAACGCTGTAAAATTCCTGAAATCCCGAGCCCAGTGTGTCTCTCCGGTACAGGCAGTCCTTGCTTTGATGATCTGTTCTTAGAGATAGCCTTCGGGAGTGCTTGCCCAGAACCTGGCTTTGCCAAACACGCATGAAGAGAAAGAAGAGAGCTGAGACTCAGGGAAGGGTGTCAGGGTTGGAGGAGAGGCGGCGAGAGTCTTTGTTATAGGTGCAAGGGTGGACGGGAAAGGTGGAAAGTGTTATAGGTGCAAGGGTGGACGGGAAAGGTGGAAAGTGAGCAACGCTGGGGGGGGGGCTTTTCTTCTTGCTGCCCCCAACACCCAGACAGAGGAAATGTGTCTGCTAGGTAATGACATACGAGCTAATGTCACTGGCAGTGTCTCCCCTGCCAGGTCTTGGCTCTGTCAAGTGTTGCCACGGTAGCCACACCAGGCGCACACCACTCTCAAGCTCAAGAACACCAGGCAACTGCAGACGGGGCCCAGGATATGGGATGCAGGATGTAGGATGTGAATCTGGGCTCCTAGCTGAGCAGAATGGCCAACACCCTCACCATCAAGGTCTCTTAGCTTCCTGTGCCCTCTCTGTTGGTGATGAACGGAGTAGTAGAATGGGAGGTTCTGGGAGAACCTTGGGAAGTTCTTGGACAAAAACCTTGGAAAGAGAGACGTAGAAAGTCTCCGATCACTGCGTGCCAGTTCCCCACCTCTAACACACAACATCTACTCATTTCTGACCTTAGAATTCATGGACAGAAACCTCCGCCGTGATTATTTTTGTTCATTCATTAGAGTGTGGGACAAGAGGGAGTCTCCCGAAGGATCTCAGGCACGGGGGAAGGTGATTTTCCATGATACGTCCTGGTTGTCAGGACTGGTGCACAGTACGGGGTGTTGGTACAGGACAGAAGCTGGAAGTGTGTGCAGACCAGCTGGCAACAACACACAGTGGCAGGAACATTTGCACAGCATTCGTGGAAACCTCAGCTTGATGCCCCCTGCACCGCGTAAGCAAGGTGAGGTTGTCCACACCTATAATCCCAGTACTCGGGAGGTGGAGGCAGGAGTTCAAGGTCATCTTCTGCTACCTGGTGAGAACCTGTCCCGAAACTTAAAATGAGGAGCAATTGAAAGCAGGGAGGAGG